GTTGATCATGATGGGGATCGAACCCACAATCTTCTGATTCGTAGTCAGACGCCTTGCCATTGGGCCACACGACCGTATCTTGATTGGTTGATATTCTGGCCGTCTGGTTGTAGCTCAAGTTTCCGGGCCGAAGGAATTGGGAATGTGGGAAAAGCGGGTCTCGGGGGCGGACTAAAATCCACTTGAAGAGGCATGATGAGAAAAAGTTTTCGTCGAGACCGGGTTGAGAGCCGGATGATAGTGGCAGTGGTGTATATCGTACTTGTTATTCATTCTTTGAAAGCAAAAAAAAAAAAAAAAAGAAGATAGGGTAAGATGTCAAGAGTCGTCCAAACCTTGAAACCCCCCCTCAACACCAACCAAACTCTCACCAAATGCATCTCGCACCACACAACACCATGGCAAAAAGAAACGTTGATCATGATGGGGATCGAACCCACAATCTTCTGATTCGTAGTCAGACGCCTTGCCATTGGGCCACACGACCATCTTGTTTTGTGTTGTGACTGTCGAGTCGTTATTGCAGTTCATGCAGCTGGAGGGAGGTTATTCTCGGTCTGTGGCTGTATCTAAGCGTCATGTCGGGGTGTGAAAGAGGCTCAAATGAGACTCTGATATGCTCTTGTTAGCATTGACTTACATGTTGCAATGCGTTTACGAGTTCGGAACCGTACACATTGATCCTGCTCTCTTGTGCTCTGGAGCTCACTTATCGTATGGGGGGTCTTGTGAGACTTCTCGAGGCCTTGCGAAAACGAGGTCCATGAAATGTCTTTATATGAAATGATCTATATGAGTATTAGCTGTTCTCTCTTCTTGTTTACCTTATTTCGGGTCCGGTAGCAGTGTGGTTGATGACTCTGTTAATGGTTGTTGACAGATGAGAGATGACAGTTGTCTTGGACTTGGAGATTACACTAACATGACTGACCGCCACATATCTCGGAGAAAGTGACTACCCTGCTCCCGAGACAAGAAGCTGAGTCACTATGTAACACTAGGAGTACCAATTGCACCCATGTCCTATAAAATAGATATCTAATTACAAGATATCAATGGAAATAGAGTCTTCTTGCTGTTAGTGTAGGGTATCTACAGTGACTACCACCTCAGCCCGATGCATCGTCAACATGAGTAATTGACTCCCAATGCTTCACATGTGAACCCTTCCAGCTCCAATATATCCATTCTCATATCAAATCATCCATCAAGGTCGCAAACACCACATATATCCCGTATCTCCCATATCTGCCGTGTCCCCAGCCAAGGAGAGCAGCGCCCCACAAAAAAAGCACCAGTGACTCGTCCCTCCGGCGTCGGAATTGACTTTGGGACAAGTTAAAGAGCCACGAGGGAAGCTCCCTCTCTCTCGTCTACACACCTCGTCACCTCATCACAACTCAGAGGACTGCAATTAAAAATGTCCCCCTTTAACCTCGAGGCCTGCGCAAGGCCAAACATCCTCGCCCTCCAACCCTACCGCTGCGCAAGAGAGCAAGTTAACTACCCCTCCCCCGCTTTCCCAACTCAAAAACTGACCAACCGTTCCCGCAGCGATTACAAGGACGACGGTACAAACATTCTCCTCGACGCCAACGAGAACGCATACGGTCCCTCGCTCGGGGATGATATCGCCAAGGATGGAGGCTCTGATGTTGACTTTCTCGGTCTTCACCGATATCCTGATCCTCACCAGGAGCCGTTGAAGCAGCAGCTTTGCCAGCTTCGTAATACCCATGCTCATACTTCCAAGACGCTCAAGCCTGAGAATCTGTTTGTTGGCGTTGGAAGTGATGAGGCTATTGATGCTTTGCTTCGATGCTTCTGTGTTCCTGGTCGCGATCGCATTCTTACATGCCCACCTACATACGGCATGTACGCCGTGTCCGCTCAGGTTAACGACGTAGCCATCGTCAAGGTTCCTCTCCTCTCGGCTCCGTCCTTTGCCATTGACGTCCCCGCCGTGCTCGATGCTCTCTCCAACGAGCCCAACATCAAGCTTGTCTACCTTTGCTCGCCTGGAAACCCTACAGGTTCGCTACTCGCAAAGGCCGACGTTCAACAGATCCTCAACCACCCGACCTGGAATGGTGTCGTGGTGCTCGACGAGGCGTACATCGACTTTGCCCCCGAGGATGCTTCTCTCGCCGAATGGGTCACCGAGTTCCCCAACCTCGTCGTCATGCAGACCTTGTCCAAGGCATTTGGTATGGCCGGTATTCGTCTAGGCGCTGCCTTCACTTCGCCCCCAATTGCCAGACTTCTGAACAGCCTCAAGGCTCCCTACAACATCTCTAGCCCCACGAGCTCACTCGCATCTTATGCCGTCTCGGAGCGTGGCCTTGCAGTGATGCGCGCCAACCGCGCTCGTCTCCTTGAGCAGCGTGACCGTCTTATTCAGGAGCTTCCCAAGATTCCTGGCGTGGGTCGTCTCCGCGGCGGCACCGAGAGTAACTTTTTGCTCTATGAGATGCTCGACTCGGCAGGAAACCCGGACAACGCGACAGCACTTGCAGTATACGAGAAGCTTGCCGAGTCCAAGGGCGTCGTGGTGCGGTTCAGGGGTAAGGAGCACGGTTGTCTGGGATGCCTTCGTATCACTCTCGGCACCGAGGCTGAGGTGACGAGATTCCTCGAGTCGCTTCGGGTGACGCTGGTTGAGGTTAGAGGACAATAGAAGGAAAAAGAATGGGGAAAAGACGATAAACAGACGGCGTTCTGGTTGGATCTAGGTTGTCTAGACGTAATCTCGTGAAATTATAGAAGCAACGCTCATGACTTGGGGGCCTTTTTTTTTTACAAGAAAGAATCCAGACGCCCATTCTATCATATCCTAATAACGCCTTTGGTCTAATCCTGGTGCAAAGTCTATAGTACATGTATATGTGTGTTTATGCCAGTCCCAATAGCAGGAGAACTGTGCCGATGCTGAACGACGCAAGAACAAGATCTGCTCTAGCCAGACTGGCAGCGTCGTCGCTCTCTGTGGCCTTGGGCTCTTCCGTGTCGGTCGGCGTCGGTGTAGGAGTCGCCTTTGTCTTGGACTCCTTCTCCTTGTCCCAGTCTGTACTGCGAACCACCTTGATGTCGTCTCCCTGAAGAGGCACAGGGAGATTATCTAGTAGAAGACCCTGGACAATCTCGAGGGCGCACATCTGTTGACCCAGACCTGGGTTTCCGTCAAAGCCTCCTACCCACCATCGCATACCACATTCACGACCAGACTTGCCACCAGTGCAAGTCTTGGCAGCAGCCTGAGCTGAAGGCACGAGGAAGCGCTCGACGTGGTCCTTTAGTGAGGGTTGCATCTGAATGCTCTGGTACATGAAGCGTGATAGATAACCCTTGAAAGTTGACATGTCCCAGTTGCACGTGTTGACCGTCTCGCAAGCCGCCTCGTACATAATGTCCGTGGTGTTATCAAATGGGGAGAAGAACCAGTCAGTACCATCAAGGAGCCGCTTGGACCGCTCCTCCCACTCGGGCTTTCCAGTGTAGTTTGCGAGGACAGCAGCGCCGTACAGGTAGATGCCGCTGGTGTAGGTAAAGGAGTGGTAGGTTGTCTTTTCGCAGTTGTCGAGCACGCTGGCGCCATCGTAGACGTGGTAGTTGCGCTTGTCGATGAAGCCAACCTCCCACGACCAATCCCAGACCTTGTTCGCCCAGTCGAGATACGTGCTGTTGCCGGTGGCTCGGGCGAGACGCGCTGCGAGCTGGAAGAAGCCGCCGTTGCTGACAGAGTTCTTGTAGGTGAGACCGTTGGGGTTCTCAGGGAAGATTTGCCAAAGGAGACCGCCGTTACAAGCTGAAGTGTTCCAACGGCCGACAAGCTCGTTAAAAACGTTTGCGCTAATGTCAAGCCACGAGGGGAGCGTTGTATTTGGCTGAGGAAAGTTGCGCTCAGCTGCTGAGAGGACAGCCGAGCCCCAGAAGAAGAGATCGTCGTTGCCCTCCTCGTCTGCGTGCTCAGGGGGCATGTAGTCGTGTTCGGGGCCGAGGTTTGTGGGAGCCAGCAGGGCCTGGATGATTACGTCGTTGTAGCTGGGATCTCCGGTGAAGTGGTAGTAGTCCAGCATGACGCCCCAGAGGGCACCGGCAACCCACCAGTAGTAAGGATCCTGGAGGTCGCCGAGATCCTTGGGGACGGTGGATGTGTTGCCGCTGTAGTATGTCATGGCGTCGTAGGCGATACTTGCTGCCACATCCTTGATGGAGTCTAGGTGTGTTAGTTGGCTGTGGGACGAATATATCGACGCGACATACCAGGGTCATTGACGTCCAAGGAATTGGGAGCTGTCTTGTTAGCAGCCGCGGCGAGCGAGGCCAAACTGGCCAATGCCCAGAGCTTCATAATGGTGGTAAAAAAATTGGTATCGCTCAGCGATGATTTTGTTGATGTGGGTGTAAGTGAGCGATGGATCAAGTGGATAACGTCTTGTTTTGCAGGCGAATAAATATTGAACCCTCGCAAATAATGAATGTCAGAGGCAGCCGATGAACAAGTCGAGAAAAGCGAGAGAGAAATCTATGTACGAATCAAGCTGAGAAGTCGCGTCGAGGCTAAACAATTGAGGGAGAGAATGGCCCTAGAACAGATGGAAGGAGAGAATGGGGAAGAGAGAGTAAGAAGTAAGAAAAAGAGAAAGAAGAAAAAAGTCAGAGGGGGACCCAGAAGCGAAGCGATTCGATTCGACGATACGATCACAAGAAAATGGGAATACGAGGACGAGAAATAAGCTGAGGCTCGACAAGAGAGATACCAAGGCTGGACCGGGCTAGATCGACCAGGGCATGGATGACATGGGAGCTTTGGGAAAAAAAAAGATGGGAGAAAGGGCTATTAATATCGCTCCGCCCAAACTAACCAGAGTCCCGCTGCTTTCAGGCCTGTCTTGTCTTGTATTGTCTTGTCTTGTCTTGCAGTAGGCAGGGTAAAACTAAGCCAAAAGCAAAGTCTCGATCAAGAAGAGCTGAGAGAGAAGAAATCCATGCCTTTTTCTTCCTCTTCCTCCGCATCAGTTGGGCTGGGCTCAGCCTCTTCAGCCCAGGGATTATAACCCCTGAAACTCGGCTTTTTCCCCATGGGATGGCATGGGGGAATTCTTTGACCCACGAGGCTCGGTCGATCAACCGTCACAACTGACCAGTGACATGCCTCGCATTGAAGAAACTCCGTGTTACAGACAAATAAACCATTGTTTCGTCCTGGGCCGCGCGGGTAGCAAACACCTGGCACCTAGTGTATCTCCTGTTTGTTCTGTTACCGCTGGAGAGGAAAACACATGGGATGGTGATCGATGGCGAAGAGAAAACGCCTTCGAAACAGAGTTGGAAAAAAGCGCCAGGGGTAAAGCCCCACTGTCTTGGGTGGCAGCTGGGACGGTAGGCTGAGAGGATGCTGAGATTTGTGAGTTTGGCGCCATGGGGGGATGGATGTCAACCTCATCAAGACTCCTGATAGGGCCATGTTGAAGATGGCGCGTCTAC